TTGCTCCTTCCTCTGGCCATTCATCCTTACACCTTATGACGCAGTAGTCCCATCCGGAGAGCGGGCGGGCGAAAATGCCACTATACCGTAACCGTGGTTACACTCGGTTACAGATCTTCTTCTAGCACTCCTCCTCGCTCGTCGCGCTCGCCAGCTACTACTCCAACATGAAAATCCTCCGAAGCTCGTCCAATCTGGCTGCCGGAAGCGCCTTCGTGAGAAGGTCGGCCTTCATTAGTCGTGACTCCACGTATCCTGGTTTGATCACACCTCGCCGTGCAAAATCGCAGATGAACTTGACTCGGATGTCTACGTGCTTTGCACTGGACATACTGTCTTCGGTCTCTAGCTGTCTGATGGCGGCCTGGTTGTCCATATACATGGTCATTGGCTCTACCACCGCAAACGCCAGCTCCCTAACGAGCTCACGCAGTCCAAGCAGCCCACGTCCGACATTTGATGCTGACGTAAATTCTGCTTCCATTGTGGATAGAGACACTCCAGTCTGTTTCTTACATATCCTCTGCACGATGGCCCCGTCGAGAGTGATCACTCCGCCGGTCACCGACTTCCTGTCGGCCTTATCCGCCGCGAAATCCGCATCACTCCAGCTTTCCAGACAGATCCGTCTTCCACTGGCTGCGTCTACTCGCATCTTGAGCTTTAGTTCCTTTGTCTGCTTCAAGTACCTAGCGATCCGCTTCGCGAGCTTCCAGTCGTTTACAGTAGGCTGATGGGTGCGTCTCGTGGCTTTGTGGACCGCAAAGCTAATGTCTGGTCTCGTACAGCGAGCTATCCATAGCAGGCTGCCGACGAGAGACTGGAAACTTCGAACTGTTGGCTCTCCTCGCCCTCCTGACTGCATCAACAGCTGCGGTGCTCTTTGTTCGGCTTCATTACATTCTTCTCCGATTGGTGCGCGTACTCCGTTTGCGTCCGCAAGCCCGTACTGCTCCAGTAGCTCTTCAATCGCGGCTTGCTGATCCAACAAGTAACCGTCCGATTCATAAAGCTCTACACGCATGCCCAATAACTTTCGTACCACACCAATATCCTTAATTGATAAAACACTCATCGCTTGAAAAATATCTTCGACTAGCTCTGGTTTGGAGGCCGTCACTAGGAGGTCATCCACATACACTCCTACCAGAGTCATGTCGCTGCCGTGCTTCTTGTAGTACAAGCACATGTCGGTAACGCATCTAGTGAAACCGATCTCCTCCAACTTAGCGTGTAGTATCTTGCTCCACAAGCGCCCCGCTTGCTTCAAACCATACAACGACTTCTTGAGCCGCAGCACCAACTTGCTGCTGGTGTCCACGCCGAGAGCGCGTAGCACCGCCTCGGATATTTGCATGCCCTTTGGTATAGCCAGATAATTCCCCAAATGTTGCTCTTTGTCCGCCTTGACGTACGCGTTTGGGATGTCCCCGTGTCGGGCAGGCACACGCCAGCGCCGAGCAAACACAAGCACTATCTTTACGGTGCTCAGCTCCATTACCGTAGCAAACGTGAGGTTGTAATCAATGCCAAAGAGCTGTTCGTTTCCACAAGCAGCCAACCGAGCTTTGAACCGCTCGATGGCGCCGTCGGCGTCCGTCTTATTCTTAAAGATTCATTTAGTGTGCAGTACGTGGCTGCCAGTTGGCGGCACCTCGACTGTCCACACTCCGTTCTCTTCAAGAGCTCGCAGCTCTTCTTCCATAGCAATTATCCACGCGTCCTTGAGTCCGCTCTTCATTGCTTGTCCGTAGTTCTTGGGGTCCGCCTCACGCACGCTATTTACCACGTCGTGTATCTTTTTATCCTGACTATTATCGTCACCAGGCGTTCCAGCCGCAGCAGCCTTTTGAGTAGTCGACCTCGTCCGATGCCTTTCCCGTGTCCAACCGCCCTTAAACTTCCTTTTGGCTTTCTTTTTCCCTTTCGACCCCGCTCCCGTACTGGCAGCATTCGCGTTGTTGTCTTCCTCTTTTGTCTCTTCCGACTCCTCGAGGTGTACGCGCCTCAGCTGCTCGTTTTGTACGTCCGTGAGCGTCTCCACATTCCGTACGTGCTGGGTCACCACGACCACGTTGTCCTTAGGGATGTAGACTCTGTACCCCTTCATCTCATCGCTTTTACCAACGATTATCGCAGCTTTACCGCGTTCTCCTAGCGACTTGTTCTTGGCGTCTGTGTGTACCGTGCACGGAGACCCAAACACCACGATGTCGCTGAGGTCGGGGGTGCTCTTCGTGAGCATCTGCAACGGCGGCTTGGACCCGGGGTTTGCCTTACTCGGGCTCCTATTCAGTATGTACGCCGCGTACTCTGCAGCGTCCCCCCAGAAGCTGAGTGGCAGACCCCACGCGAACACCATGCTTCTCACCATGTTCATAATGGTGCGGTGCATTCGTTCTGCTTTTCCGTTGCTGGCTTGATTCCTGGGCTCGCTTACTTGCCGCGCAATGCCAGTTTCTTTACAAAACAAATCTAGAGTCTGGTATTCACCTCCTCCATCCGTCCGCAGCACATCGATACGACAGTTAAACTGGCGCTCAAAGAACGCCATGAAGTGTTTAAACTGCTGAGCAGCAACGTCCTTCGTCCGTGCTAAGAAGATCCTGCAATAGTTCGTCCTGTGATCGACGAAGTTCACCAAATACCTGTTGCCGAGTCTGTCTCTTGGCGTCATTGGTCCCTTGAGATCTGAGCATATAACACCGCCGATGACGTCGATAGGTGCGTTGGCTCCTGTGTCCTTCCTGGACTGCTTGTTCTTCGTTTGCTTTCCTTGTGCGCAGGCCAAGCAGTTCGCTCGCTTCTCATCCGTGAGTGCGATTCCAGACGCAGGATTCTTGGCCATCTTGAGGATAGTATCGTAGTTGAGATGTCCTAGGCGGCGGTGAAAGTGCATCAGCGTGCCCCTCTGTACGTCATGTCCTACCTCCTCATTCTGTTCGCTTGGCGCCAGTACCGACATGAGCACGTCGCCGGCGCTTCTTGCACGCCCCTGTACTTGCGCGCGCACCATCAACACGTTGTTGACTTTCTCTACGTCGAACACTGCTGGTCCTCCAGTCATTGCAGCAGCTACACGATGTTGTCCTCAGTAGTCAATCTTGTAGCCTTTCTTCTCTAGCATTCCGTAGGAGATAATGTTCTGCTCCAAGTTCTCTGCATACTGAACATCTAGTAGTTGCACCGTAGTTTTCTTTCCCATAGCCATGATTTCCAGCACTATGCTGCAACGCTTGGTTACCATCAGAGCTCCCCCGTCGGAAGCAACACACTCGCTCTCGAAGTCCTCATCCGGTGTTGAGGATCCATACACCTTTTTCATTGACTGAGTTCCACTGCCAGGACCAAATTCGTTCTGGCGCCTCGCTCAGTCCCTCCTCGTTTGTTGTTCGGACACAATGCCTTTAAGTGCCCAACCGTTCCGCATTTATAAAACACTTCCTGTCGTCTATGCGATCATCGTGTACGTTGTTCACAACGTCACGTCCCCGGTTCTTACCTCGTAGCTCGATCTCCGTGGACTGTGCAAAGTGGGCCAGCTCCTCCGCTTGCCGCAGGTAATCCGTCCGGCCAAGGTTCAGTCTGGACAGCATCGACACTCACATCGACGCGTCCGCGTAGTGGACGATGTTGTCCAAGACGAGGTTGTCGGCGCCTCCACACGCCTCACTCACAGCCACCAGGTAGAGATAGTGTTCAGTCCAGCTGCTCTTGGAACGCTTTGGAGCTGTAAACATCTTCATGCTCTGGGCGGGCGTTATCTTGGTCACGAACGTGTGCAGCAACCGCTGCATGGCGTGATCCAACGTCGGCTCCTCTTCCCACCACCCTTCAGCCTGCTGGTTGTAGTATATCTCAGCCATGCCGGTAAGGTGATGACCGAGGACATCCACCTTTCCTTCCTCCGTCCACGTGAAGCCACTTGCGCGTTCTGCAAATAGTATCTGACGCACGAGCCGTTTGCCCCAAGACAGAAAACCACTGCCGAGGCCTTGATACAGCTCCTTGCCGTCGAAGTGACGGATGCCAAGCTTCCGTTGGCTATCTGGCACACGAGTAAAACCCTGAGCTGGAGCCGGCATGCCGTGCGGCATGGCAGGCGGCTGAACGTGCGCCTGGTACATGCGCGGGGGCACGTAATGCTGTGGCAGCGCTGGCTGAGGAGCTTGTGCCATCTCCACGTTAGCCGCTGCGTTCTCGAACCCGTAGCCGCGCTGCTTCACACCGAAGTACGTGGCTGGAGACATTGCCGGGGAATTCCTTGTTGGCGTCCTATCCAGTGCTTCTCGGTCCATGGCCCTTCCTAGGCCTATGGCCGACTCGAATACACTTGACTCCCTTTCAGCGGTCCGCTGCTGCTCCTCCTGTCGCTTCTGCGACTCCTCCAGGCGCTCCATGCGCTCTGTGAGGCCGGTGAGGAGATCCACCAGCTTCTGCTGTAGGTCCCTCGTCTCCTTGACTTCGTCGTCGCCTCCGTACTTGCTTCTGTCGGTCCTTTCGCGACCGACATCTGCGTCCGGATGCCCGCGGGCTGACTCCGCGGCGACAGTATCGTTGCTTGAGCTCATAACCTGTTAGTAGATGTGAGGGAACCGTCGTATATTGAGAAGTGAGACGAAACTAACTACGTTCTACTCGTACCTTGCACCTTCCTCTAACCATTCATCCTTACACCTTATTCCGCAGTAGTCCCATCCGGAGAGCGGGCGGGCGAAAATGCCACTATACCGTAACCGTGGTTACACTCGGTTACAGATCTTCTTCTAACATAAAACGCACTACTGTCCAGAATATTCTTAAGCGGTCGGCGGACGCTGCCGCCTTGCCGGATGCCTATCGCGACCGGAAGCGCTGTTGCGCGCCCGCGATTCGCGCGTCTGACGCCAAGATTATGCAGAAGATTGACGAGTTCAAGACTTGGCACGGAAACGCAACTATTTAGGGCTCTACGGTACTAATGATTGCTCAACGTGAAGGAGTATAGCTACCCGGACGCAATGCACCTAGTCGAGGGTGGCTGTACCGCTTCCAGCAGCGCACAGGGCTGTGGTTTTCGCAAGCTCCCGCCTAATACAACTGCCGTACTGCAGCCCATGGACCAGGGCATCATTAAGTGCCTGAAGAATGAGTACCAGAACAAGAAGCAAGCCGCGGAACTGGACCTGTTCTACAAGGGTGTTCCTTACACGCCGGTCGACGTTTACTCCGCCATGAAGTGGTTGTCTGAAGACTGGAACAACATATCTGCTAAGACTATTAGAAACTGTTGGTGCCACACAGGCATCATCTCAAAACTAGACGTACATTTTGTACTGAATTAACAAAACAAAGATCAGTGCACTGGATTTGCGTTTTTTTTTGCTTTACGTTGTGCACTTATGCCATGGCACTGTTGATATGGTCCGCCCTGCCGAATTGGAGGTGCACAACTGTACAAGTATGGTGGTGTTACACGTTTCTGTGCAGGCTTGGGGGTTGCCCCAAATGGCGACACCATGCAAAACGTCGCACGTCAGCTCGAGGCAACACAAATTGTGTGTAATTGAGTCATGAAGGGAATATTCTCGGTCAACTTTAAATCCTTCTGGACCTGATATAGAAAAAATTATGTTCTAGACGACACGAGTCCTAATCTGGAAATTGTTAAAATAATGGCATCGCAGAACATTTATAATTGGTGTATTTTTTTCTCTGGGTCAGATTTGCGAGTAAAAAATTACTAGATCCTATTGGCTAGTGAAACATTCAACCATTAGAATCGTGAGAGCCACTAATTAAGTAGTAATTACCAAGCAAATCCTTTAATATTTAAAGGTAGATTTGTAGTAGTATATTTACAGATACCTACTACAAATCTACCTTAAAATTTGAAAATTTGATACAGAACTAAATACAGACAACGACGAAAAAATCCGACAGACACAAAAATCCGACAAGAGATTGTGAGCACACCTCTTTCCCATAGTAACTATTTTTGTTTTTTACCCAATCATATCGTTATACAAGAAGTTTTTAATCCAATTACTTTCTAAAAAATGATGAATGGCTGGAGATAAATAACTTCTTGGGCGTCGGTAATTATCAAGTCATTTTGCGCGATGAAGCGCGTTGAGCGAAGCTTTACAATAAAGCAAAGGCGCGAGGCCTTGACGATCGCTAAATGTGAGGGCGATAATGCCTTTTCCGAAAGTTTTAATATTGCAGGAGGGACTATCTACGATTGGCGCAAGCAAGAGAACGCGATACGCAATTTCAAGGGACACCACTCGTCAAAGACGCTAAAAGGGACGCAAGGAAATTTTTTCTGGCGTCTCTGACCTTTTAACATACATGAAGGATGTGCGCAGACTTGAGCAAGTAAGTCAATGTGAGCGTGCTATTTGTGCTATTGTGGTGTTGAGCTAACTTTCTTACAGGTTTTATAGACTGCCGGCATGATTCAGTTCATGTGGCAAGCTCATCCTGAGTGAATGGAAATCTACATAAGCGAAAAAGAAGCGGGCGAGCTTGCGCTAGAGCGCATAGTACAGTGCTTCGCTAATCGGTAAAAAAAACAATTTTGTGCAAATTTTAAAATTGTACTTATTCCTTACTTTAAATTTAAATGTTGCGCTACATAGCAGCGGGTTTTTGGTCTAAAAACCTCAAGCGGCTAAAAAATTTTTGAAGACCTCGTGCAAGCTTTTCTCTTGCGTTTAGGGCCAAGTATAGTTCTTTCAGTGGCGGGGGCATTCTAAATGTCGATGAAACAGCCATACTGTTCGACATACCGCCTATAAAGTCGTGAGCTGGCAAAGGGCGCAAGGACTCCGCGCGAATTTTCGGTGCAGATAAGCACGCCGGTCGAATGATCGCAGTGCTAACCATTCGCGATGACGGTAAGCTATTTGTTTTTGTATTTTAAATGGTTCTTTTGCTAACATATTTTTAACCCGTTCGGGATGAAAATGCCTATTTTGTTTATCATCCGTGGCGTCCCTGGTGACCGCATCGAGAAAAATGAAATGAAGCAGTACCCTGACGACCACTTCTACGCCATGCAGGAGAACGCATGGATGAACATCAGTGTGTGGGAATTTTACGTAGAAAAAATTTTGAAGTTTGAAATAGATGGCCCCGCTGTCCTTCTGGCTGACAACTTTGAATGTCACGTTTCCGAAGAAGGACAGCGGCTTGTGGCTGAAGAAGCCAATGCTACTTCGGTCCCACTACCCCCAAATAGCACTGCTGTGTGTCAGCCGCTAGATGTGGAGGTGATGGGACCATTAAAAGCAAAAATACGGAACCGTTGTGGTAGACGCACTGGCGGAACTGCTAAGGAAAAGCGCATCCGTGCTATAAAGTCTACTATTGCTGCTTGGGAAAAGCTAGAAAAGAAAACGATAATTTGTAGCTTCGAAAAGGCTATCCCGAGGTATCCGGAAGTAACCTTCTGAATATAATCCCCTTTTTTTCATTCACATGTTTTTTCTGGGCTGTTTTTGTTTTTTTAGAGTGCGTTATTAACGTATCAAATGAAGCGTCGGACTTTTGTGTCGGGCTCTGTGTTTTTTTCTTTTACTATGGATGGGTGCTATTCAGTGGTGCCGGATTTCTCCGTCGTTGTCTGTACAGCACTTACTGCTCAGATCTTCTGTAGCCATTAGACATTGAGCGCCTACTATTCCTGCCTATAACAACTTTAACGGACTTTGACACAACTACACACAGTTTGGGTTGCCTCAAGTTGACGTGCGCCGTTTTGCGCACCAGAGATCATATCTCACCAATAACAGCAATCCCAAACTTTCCGCGCAGGCCTCACCAAACTCAGCACAAAACTATCGACCTCGCTTTTCCAAACCGCCCGAAATTGCCTCTCAGAGCACAGCACCTATAAATTTTGAATATTATACCAAACAGGGAATCAGTTCATCAACCAAGCAAGGCCGCAAGCAGTGAAAGTCACTGCTAAATTGATATGGCCATCCTTCTGTGTACGATTCATTTCCATATCAGCGCCTATTGTTACTGTAAAGATTAGTCTAGCTTTGTGATATTATACGATACCACTAACCAGTAACGAGTGGATAGATCTGGGTTTGTACGTCATTGGTCAAAGGGAGCCCAAATTCTATCTCTAACTTATCTGCAGTTTACCCGTACAACTATTTAGTCTGTACACCGTTTATTTGTCATAATATTATTGTTTTTGTACAAACATTGCTTTTGTACGAATCCTATTTCAGACGCAAAAACAAGAGGCCCGTGTGCTTCGCATACGGATCTAAAACACCTGTGATGTAATGCAAGCTCACTAGCGCCAGCTCCTCCAACCTGCAGCCAACTTTGTTGGGGCGATCACCGTTCAGCTATAGCTAAGCCGATCTCCAGGTGCCGCTTACAGTTGCTGCCTCAGGAGGCAGGACAGGATGGCCATGTACAGCCGGTTGCACTTCTACTGCAGCCAGCGAGCTACAAGGACGGCATCCCCTGGACTGTCATCACAGCAGGCGGGTGTGTCCAATACTAGATTAGATAGCTCACGTTTCAGTTCTAGTTGAAGTAACCATGCAGCTACAAGCAATACACGTTGGCTTAACGAGAGTTCCAGCTTCCAAATTGTGAGCACGTCACAGCACCAGATACAGCTCTACCTTTATCGTGGGCCTGGGTATAAGCCGCGCGCTTTGCTGTACGGAGCTTTAACACCAGGTAGCGCTCTACATGTTACGTCACCTTACAAGATCGGATTGAAATACGTCTGTAATACTCTAAAGGAAACAACATTTCATTAAATAATCTTCCTAAAAACATTTCGGTTAAAAAAACGGATAAAAATAACGATATATTTACACAGCCTAATATAGTGGATTTGTAAAAGTCGTCGAAACCACCAGTGTTCTTTCCTTTTTATACCAATACTTGGCGCTACTACAGCTTATATACGGCTGCGCTCGCGCTCATCCGCGGAAAAGCGCCAACAAGCGCTTGAAGCTCAGCCAACATATCGTAGGGAACCTACTCGAGCTCGCCGACAGCGACGCTCTGTACAACACACAGGTGAGATTTGCCACGTAGGTGCTTATTTTCTAATATTGTAACGTGTAAATATTGGTGACCATGACCAGCAGAACCACCGATTAAATCTTCTACAATAGGCGAAGAATCAGCTCCAAATACATAGTTTCGCCGCATTTCGAATAACAGCTCGTTCACAAGCTGATCCAGCGATATTGCATTCCTGCTGAATCCAATCGGGGATAAAGAACCTTCCGCTGATATATACCTATCAGTCACTCGTTATTGGGATTGTGACACCACCAGACCACCAGCAGCACTCTTGTCCCGGAGACGCTCACTCGGCAGATTAATTTGGACAATGGTCAAACGTCTATCACACAAGTAGCAGCCAGTAATACACGAGGGGCTCGGGCTTTCCTCTACAATCAGTATTTCAGCAATCTCACCCCGCTAACCCAGCCTCGAACTTCCCCCAACACCCCTCATGGTTTTCCGACACCATTGGCAGACACTCGCGGCTGCGACGCCCCAGATCGAGGCCGACCGTCTACTCGGAGGCCTTAAGAAGTTCCGTGTTGCAAAAAGTGATATCGAACAGTGCTATGTATACATGAACGCCACTCCGCATCCAATGAGGATGCAGCGCCTGGCTTGCGCGTGCAAGGCCTGCGAGGACGTCTCAACATGGGTTGTCTGTCCCTGGAGAGGTCGCGTCATGACGTGCCAGCAGACGCATCTCGTAATGATCAAAAAGGCTACCCCCATGCTACCCCTTCCCGCTTCGCAAGCGTCACCGTGCTAACAAACGCAACGAAAACGGCAGTGATGGAATGGGCGAGTCAAGGTCTCAAGCCCAAAAGAATTTGGAGCGCGCGAACCCAGCGTTTCAATCTAACTGAGGCCACTACAACACCGCTGGTGAGAGTCCAGCGCTTTGCGTATCACTATGTCGCGGGGCGGCTTGGTGGCAGCGACCTGCGTGTCGCAGTTCACCGTAAGGCGCAGGAAACCTTTTTTACCGGTAAAGAAGAAGAGGCAGCTGGGTTCACGCTAACGAAGTGCACAGATGTGAATGACAATGCTGTCATAGGCAACTGGAGCGACGCTAACCCCTTCGTGATTGGTGTTAGCACGATGAAACTTCTACGCCGGGCCAATTGGGACGCTGCATCATTTATCCTACACGTGGATGCCACGTACAGTCTCACTCAAGTAGGCTACCCAATCAACGCCGTTGGCATCTCGGATAGAGCGAGACACTTCCATCTCTTGGCGGTCTTTTTTGTGTCGCAACTTTTGGTTCAAGTACGGATCCTGCATCCTCACGCTGTACGCTATGGAGGTACGCGGCGTTACTGACATCCACGGAAAAGAAACGATGGCTTACATAGGGGCGAAGTCGCGTAGAGGTGCCACGGGAAGTGCTTGTAGGCCGCACGCAATTGGTCCCGCGTTCGAAATAGAGTAACAATGCTTCATAAGTAGTATAGAAACTCGCTGCAGCAAAGGTGAACGCATTCATGAATTCAAGTTGTTATCCCTAAACAAGAGTCGGTTACGGGAATTCTAGTTTGTAGAAGTGATTCAGTAGCTACCGTACCGATGCTAATAACTCACAAAGATGGTGTGCTTATCGACGGTCCAAATAGGCTATTTAAAACTATACAAAACTCACGTTGAAATGACCTCGGTGACAGCCGTATTGCTCTCCCGCTTGTACAAACCGGTGCTACGACTCAGTGAATAAAGAATCAATCCTTACTGACACACTCTGATTATAATTTAAATAGCACCAGGGTGAGGCCGATCCAGATTCCGAATCCTGGAGAAGCAGTGCAATTAGGCTCTGTCGTGCCAAGACTAATACACAGACGCCAAATTTGGTCTGTAGAAAATTTAAGAGATTACTTTAGCTTATTAAAATACTTTAGATGTATGTGAAAAAAATAGTGCAAGTCAGGCTGCGAGATAAATGTGTCAGAGTGTTTGATTGTTGGATCTTTACGATAAAAAAACGCGGGGAGGTCATTTATAGAGTAACCAAATCTGGCTCGTACAAATGGTGCGGGTAAGTGTTACGATGATGCCTCAAACAAGCTTGTAGCTTGTACAAGTTTAAGCAGTAGTATTTTAAAACTACCTGTACGTCGAAACAGTCCCCCAAACCAAAGTTTTCAAGTTAGGACGCGAAAAGAAATGTACTATCAGAAATTAGAATTCTGATTAGGAGCGAAGTGTACTGCAGTCACTTTTAGTGCTTAGCAGCCCGCACAGCAGCTAGCTTCTCATTCAGTTTCCGCTTCTTCTCTTTCTTCGCGTTCGCACCTACACTTTTCTGGTAGCTTCAATTTTTTGTAGAATAGCTTCTTCTCACGCTCGAAGTTTGCCTGGTCATACACACGTCCCTCGTCGTACGGTACGCTGTTAGCAGAGACTCCCCCGATCCAACAGAATCCTTTTTACTTCC